AGAGAAAATCATCCTTAGAACACCGCAGTGATAACTGTTGTAAATATGATCTATTGATGGATGCTAAAATTTGTGAGCAAAAACTTAAGGAGAAACAGAATATTTGCACATCATTAAATATTTCTTCCAAATTATTAATTATAAAAGTAAAGACAGTAACCTGGCAGATACTACCTTAACCAAGTAATCAAGCTTAATAAGACCAGTAATAAGACATATTGACATTATGTGCTCCCTGATACAACATGCTTGGAAAGACACATCCCCTCTGTGGTAATGCTGTCTCCCCAAAATTGATAACTTCAGTCTAATCATGAGAAGACATCAGAAAAACTCAAATTGAGGGACATTCTACAAAACAGCTAACCAGGATTCTATAACAGTGTCAAGGTCAAATAAGACAAGAGACTTGGAGGAGACTTGGAGACATGACCACTAAATCTAATGTGGTACCCTGAATCAAAGCCTGAACAGAATGCAGACATTGGTGAAAAACAGGTGAAATCCAAATAAACTGTAGTTCAGTTAACAGTATCGTGCCAATCAATGTTAATTGCTCAGTTTTGATAATTGTACCATGGTTAAGTAAGATGTTAACATTAGGGAAAGCTGAGGGAAAGGGATATGGGAACTTTTGTAATTCTTCTGCAAGTCTAAGTTTATTTGAAAATAAGCAGCTTGAAAAATATGCAGATTCTGATTCTGTAAGTCTGTAAAGAAGTCCTCTGCCTTCCTAACAAGTTTCCCTGGAGAAGCTACTGCTGCTGCTGGTCCACAAACCCCACTCTGAATAGCAGGAGTCTAGACTAGTGGTTCTCAAACTTAACTGGCACCTGGTGGGGTTTTTAAAAACACAGATTACTGGGCCCTACCCCCATAGTTTCTGATTCAGAAAGTCTGTGGTGGGGGTCCAAGAATTTGCATTTCTAACAGGTTCCCAGATGATGCTGACATTGCTGATGAGCTAAGAATGGTTTTATGTTTTTAAAGTATTTAAAAATTTTAAAAATGAATATGAAACAGCTACTATATATGGCCTTCAAATATATATATATATATAAAATGGTTCCTGAACCTGGACTCTTGCTATTCAGAATGAAGCTTCTAAGAGACACTAATGCCTCAGAGATTCTTAGTTAGCTGATTTGGGATGGGTCCTAGGCATCAATATTTTTTAAATGTTTCTCTTGAATTCTGATGTACAACCGGGTTTAAGAACTACTTATTTAGGCTCTCTGCCTACCTCAAAAACACTTTGCTCCTCAGTCCTCTCAGAGTTGGGGATAGGTCCAAACAAAAGTCAAAAAGAATTTCTGCAACTTGAAACACACTAAAAAAACTGAGGTATTCTTTTGTGAAGGTTAACAAAACCCCAGCATAAATCGGCATGTTCCCTTCTCACCTCTTCCCTCCCAAGTGTATATAAGTGAAAATTGGATTATACATCAATAATAATCCCAAAGAACCTACCTTCACTCGCTCCTCAAAAAAAGTGGCAAGTGTACTTGTGCATGATGGTATGAAATAGATGGGCTAGAACGGACAGAGATGAACCAGAAGAAAAGAATCAAGGTGAGAGCGGCCCTATGGGATCAGGTAACAGGGCACAGAGTGCTAGAGAGCTGAGGAAAAGGGAGAAAAGTGCAGGACTGAGAAAGGGGGTGGTGCTGAGGTACTTGAAGAAAGTACTGTTATCACGAAGTACCTTTACCTTCATCACAACTCCAACATGCCTTAGTTGAATGTAATCAGGACCAGGGGTCCCTCTAATATTTGGCCATCCCCTTCGCATCTTACCCTTTGCCTCTTACTCCCCTTGCTAAAGAGGAAAGCTTTTAGCTACAGCCTGCCTTCCTTGCTCAAGGAATCTAAACTCCAGTTGCTAAGCTTCCCCTAGGAGGCACCTGATTTCTTCTGAGGATGGTCCCTGTTTTTTCCTTGCTCAAGGAATCTAAAGGCCTCATCTTAACTCCAGTTGCTAAGCTTCCCCTAAGAGGCACCTGATTTCTTCTGAGGATGGTCCCTGTTTGTTTTCGTACCTGTGCTCTCCTCAGCCTGATTGAAGCCACAGATCTGGCAGATGCTCTGGACCCACTTATTCATGTCCTCCTCGGTCTCGGCCACCAGGTAAAAGGTACGCTCACTGGTCTTGATGTCAAACACAAAACTATCCTGCAGTTCCTTCTTGTTGAAGGTCAGGCCTGCATCCACCTGCTCACAGAAGTTGAGATTGATGATACGCAGGGGCTTCTTGGAGTGATCATTCTTGTAGTATTCCAGAACATCTGGGTCACCACTCATGCGGCCACTCCGCAGGATAAACCAGCGTTTCTTCCAGGCCTGAACAGTAAAGAGTGAGAAGAGAGGAAAAAAGTCGTTAGTTGTTTCAAAGCTTTTCACAGGTCCTCAGATACCACCAGGTTAAGGATGGGGACTGCTGCACCTGCCGGCTGAACGTGGCCTCTGTCTCCCTTTCATATTGCCCCAGAGTGTCAGAAATGGAGGACAATTTTAGAATGCATGTTAGTACAGCATCTTACCATGGAAACAGGGTTTTATCACTATGAAAGAGCTGTAGTGTTCTCATTTTTTTTAGATCAGGAAGTTAGATGAGGACTAAAACACTTTAGAGCAATTATTTCATCGGGCTAGAATACAGACTCAAACTCACAGTACTCTTAGGATGGGACTTGCAAAACCATAACATCTCAGTTTATGGATGGGGACCCCCACTAAGACATGGTGAGTTGAAGCAACAATGTCACACACAGCTAGTAGCAGAAAAACAAGTTCCCTGACTTTTACTATGTTGTGCTTCTTACCAAATCAAGATGCCTTGAAAGATCACGGAAACCCTTCTAAAACTTCTCTAAAGCATAATTTTAGGGTTTCCTTGTCTCATTCACTGCTACATCCCTAGTACTTGTAATAGAGCTGTGCACATACCAAGCACTCAATATGTATTACTGAATGAATAAACTTAAATCATTCCATACTATTGAAATTAACCTTTGATTACAAATTCCCTATGTTGTCTTCTACATTCCATCTTCTCAACAAGACGGAGTAATCTGTGAGCAGACACCACAAAAAGTGATGAAAAGACGTTATGTATCACAAAGAGCCAAGGACTGTGCTCATTTCGGCATCATATATACTAAATTTGGAACGAGACAGAGAAGATTAGCCTGGCCCCTGTGCAAAGGGCCTAGGGTGGAGTCTATAACTGACTTGCTGTGTGCTTTTAGATTCATTTACCTCTTTGGATGTTGACTCATTTATAGAATGAGAATCAACATCACCACCACCACCACCACCACCACCACTGCCTACCTACACTACAGGGTTTTTATTATGCAAATCTACCCAAAGCACTTTGTATACAACCCTAAGGCACTTCAAACGCCAAGGACTTGATTATTATCTTAATTCTTTAGAGCCCATTAGGACTTTTACTCCATTAATCCTACCATCTTTTCTCTCTCACCTTCTATCCCTGTCCTCACTTCCCTTCCTACCTGATTTCATTTCTGTGATCTTTCATTATAATTATTCCCTTGGTTCTTTCTCCAACCCCCTTATTTATTTGGGAAAACCACAACCTCTGGATAAGTCTAAGGCTCTGCCTGAACCTCTCAGCTATACAGCTATGCTGACCGGTCTCACTTTAAATTCAAATGGGCCCTCACGCTGCCTAACAATTCTACTCCCAGAATGTAAACTCCACCCGGGCAAAGACTGGTTCTTTTTATCCCATGCTGCATCTTCAATGTTTAGAATCGTGCCTGGCATGTAGCTGGTTATCAATAAATATGTTATTAATTAATCATTTTCTTACATGAATTCCTAACAGCATCTAGTAGGTCATGGGGGCAGAACTGATGCCTAGTAAGCCTTAGACTGAAATGAAGATTAGAATATAGCCAGATGGTACAGAGCTGAGGAAAATAAGTACTATTTATTTATAGTCAACTAAAGTCTTCCCCGGGCCACTGCTTACAGAACTCTGTTTGTACACTGAAGTGTGTGGGTAAGGTGCATTTTAAAAAGGTACTGTTAATAGTTTAGCTTGAGTTCAGTTGAAGTACCCCCTTCAGTGCTAGTCTCTGTAGAAAGAACTGTCTTCAAATCACTGGTGTGCAGGTGCAAGCATAAACACACACACACACACACACACACACACACACACACACACACCCACATAAACAAGAAAAAGGTGTTTGCTACAGATAACATCGGAGCCTGCCAGGTTCAGCTTCCAAGGAAATGGTGCAGGCTGATAAATGGCTGCCTATAAAATGCTGATAAATTTATGACAGAGCAGGCAAGGCTGTCTAGTCTAGTCCCAAATTCCCATCCCTCTTCTGCCACATCTCTCCAAATCTATGTCTTTTTTTTTTTTTTTTTTTTGAAACCAAACAATTCAGAACCAAGCATCTTCAAAGACTCTAGCTCCAATGACAACTTCTCTGACCCCCTCCGGTGAAATAAACCTCTACTTCCTCTAAACTTTCATAACACTTTTTATGTAGTTTTCATGGCTTGTCATTTTTTACAACATGTTATATATATTTTTGTATTTGTTTCTTCCCAGGTAGACTATGAACGACACCTCTTCCTATTCCTGTTGACTCTCCATGATAGGATTTACTAAATGTTACTAAGCAAGGCTTTTTATCGCTGAACCTTTCTTATCTCTCTGGCCTCTTTATGTTCTCTTCCTCTCCCCTCCCCTCCCCTGCCCTCTCCTCTCCTCTTCTCCCCCTGTCCTTCCTTCCATCATCTATTCATCCATCCAGTAAATATTTATTTAGTGCTTACTAAGCTACAGGTATTATTGTAGATGCTAAAGATACAACATGAATTCCTGGTCTTACAGAACTTACAAATTACTTATTATTATTACTTATTATTACTTACAGAAGCCTAACAAATTACTTATTATTCTCCAAATGTGCCACATAATTGCATGATTTCACATCTTTACACAAGTTGCTGCTTTTTCCTAGAATGCCTTTTATCTCACTTTGTCTATCTGGAAAATTCCTGTGTCCTCTCAGTGCCAGCTTAATTATCATTTCTCCTGGAAGGCCTTAACTAACTTCCCTAGGTAGATCTGGTGCTCCTGGCTTCTGTTACCTTAACAACCTGCCTTCTTTGGTTATTTCTTCCCTTAACTTTGGCATTTCAATTGTTTATATGTCCTCCTCTGCTTTACGGTCTGAGCATCTTGAGGTGAGGGTCCTATGTGGCCAGCAGTTATTTGGCAGAGCACTTAGCCTTTATGGAAACTCAGCAAAGATCTGTGGACTTTTTTCACTTGATATATTAATTTATTCAAACTAATAAGTGCAATTAAAAAATATAAGCTTTCACTGTGGGGAAGGAGAAAAGAAGGACAGCGAGAGGATTACAGAAAAGAGAATAAGGAAGAGAGGTATGCTGCAGATTCTCCATGATGTGAGTTCTTTAGCATCTTGTTCTCTTCATTCTAGTAAGCGCAGTGACCATATAATAAATATTTATAAGGAACTCTGGGAACTCCAGCCAGAAAGTGTCTCATGATACAGAAATGAAAAAAACACTGCTGGATTACTGACACATATGCAAAAAGAATATGGGAACATGATTCCTGAATACATTATTAAGGAGAAAGCTTTTTCAAAACTGTTCTTATAACTATAGAAAATCGACAAAAATTAACTCAAAATGGATCATGTAATGTAAATGTAAAATACAAATAGAATTATGCAAGATATAAAAATAATTATATACCACGACAAAGTGGGGTTTATTCCAAGGATGTAAAACTGATTCAATAATCAAAAACCAATCACCATAATCCACCATATTATATTAATAAGACCAAAGAAGAAAAACCACATGGTCTTATCAATCGATGCAGAAAAAAACATTCAACAAAATTCAACATCTATTTATGATTAAAAAAAACTTGAAAAAATAGGAAGAGAGGGGGAACTTTCTCGGTTGTTAAAGAGCATCAACAAAAGACCAACACCAACATTATACTTAGTACCGAAAGACTGAATGTTTTCTCCTGAAGATCAGGAACAAGGCAGGATGTCAGCTATTATCATTCTTTTTTAACAGTGCTGAAAGTTCTAGTCAGGGCAGTAAAGCAAGAAATGCATATAAAAGGCATGCAGATTGGAAAGAAGAAAAAAATTATCCCTATTTGCAGATGACATGATTAACCACATAGAAAATCCCAAGGAATTTAGGGAAAACTCCTGGAACTAATAAAGGAGCCCAGAAATGTCACAAGATACAAGATGAACATATAAAAATCAAGTTGCTTCTATAAGCAAATGAACATCTGGGCAGAGAAAAGAAAAATACAATTTCATTTATAATCTATTTTAAGAAATGAAATAGATGTAAATCTAACAAAATATGTATAGACCATATATGCTGAAAATGTTCTCCTTAATAACATTTTAGTACAATTAATACAATGCTGATGAAAGAAATTTTAAAAACCTAAATGAAGAGGAATACTATGTTTATGGATTGAAAAACTCAACATAGTCTATTTCTCTAAATTGATATTCAAGTTCAATACAATTCCTGTTAAAATCCTAGCAAAGCATTTTTATAGATGTAAACAAAATTATTCTGAAGTGTATATGGAAAGGCAAAATAAGTACAATAGTTAACAATTCTGAAAAAGAAGATAAAGGGGAATGAGTCCACTAGATTTCAATAATCTTGATTACTACAGTAATCAAGCTTATTTAGTACCGACGGAGGGACACACACATAGAACAATGCAATAGAACAAAACCCCCAGAAATAGACCCACACAAATATGCTCAACTATTCTGGCACAGGTGGAAAGGCAACTGGACATATAGAGGGGAAAAAAATGAACTGCAATCTACGCTTCATACCTTATACAAAAACTAATTCAAAATAAATCATGAACTTCAATGTAAAACTAAAAAACATTCAGGAAAAAACCTGGAGGAAATCTTTGGAATATAGGGCTAGGCAAAATATTCTTAGACTTGACATCAAAGCATAATCTCTAAAAGGAAAAGGTTATAAATTTAAAACTTTTGTTCTTCAAAAGACTTTAAGAGGATAAAAAGACAAGCTACAGAGTGGAAGAAAATATTTGCAAACCACATATTCAGTAAAGGATAGTATCTAGAATATATATAAGTAACTCTCAACACTCAACTGTTAAAGGAGGAAACAATCCAATTAGGACGTGGGCAAAAAGAGACAAAGAGACATTTCACTGAAGAGGATTTACAGATGGCAAATAAACACATAGAAGATGCTCAACATCATTAGCCATTTGGGAAATATG